AGGTCCACCACTAAACCATGACATTAGGGGGCTCATCTATACAATTTTTTAACACTTGCAGGGGAAATGATTCCACCACTTCCACCAGTGATTGGGCAGCCTGTCCCAATGCCTGATCACCCTCTTGATGAAGAATTTTTTCCTAATATCCAATCTTAACCTCCTCTGTTACCTCTTGTCCTATAACTTCTTCCTTGGGAAAAGAGATCAGCCACCTTGTATCTCCATCATCCGTTCAGGCAGTTGCAGAGAGCAATAAGGTCCCCCCTGAGCCTTCTCTTCTCCAGACTAAACAAATCCAGTTCCCTCAGCTCTTCTTCATAAGACTTATTCTCCAGACCCTTCACCAGCTTCGTTGCCCTTCTCAGGACCCGCTCCAGCACCTCAATGTCTCTCTTGTACTCAGGGGCACAGAAGTGAGCATAGTGCAGCCCCACCAGTGCCAAGTACAAGATGAAGATCATTGCCCTGGCCCTGCTGACCACAACATTTCTGATACAGGCCATTGGCCTTCTGGGCTGCCGGGGCACACTGCTCGCTCATGTTAAGCCAGATAGAATCATAGAGTCAACTAGGTTAAAAGTGCTTCTAACTCCACACGCTAATAGTTTCAGGCTCTTTTAGAAAAGAGGACAGCACAGGGGAGTGGGGAGCACAGCTGGTATTAGTATATGTACTTATATTTTAATGACATAACATCAAGCATGATTCATATATTCCTGCTATTCAGTTTATCATACATCTGCTTGAGTGGCAAAGTGCAATATAGAACAACCAAGACTTCAGATTGCACTAACACCTATATTTAGACAAGCATTTCAAACTTGCATGCACTCAGCTATGAAACACAAGATTGCAGGCCTTTAAATTTCAGCTGAGCTAATTTTAAGATTAAAAAGAATATGTTGATGCTCACAGCAACTCAAAAGATCTTTCTGTGCATTACTGACATGCAAGGCAATGAGTCTGGGAAAACACAAGCAAGCAAACAGAAAATTGCAAATTGCAGCCTTGTTGGGTAACATCAGTGAACCAAGTTTTGCCCGATTTATTTTTGTTACACTTTGACAAAACTTCTAACACCTCAATTACTGTGTTTGTTTAAACATTTCCTGGCTCTTGGTTCAAATAAATGTTTTAGTTAAACTGTGTTGACCGGAGGTCATTGATTATTTGCAGCAGCAGCTTCAATGGCTCTTGGGTGCAGCTGCAGACCTTTGCCCCACTAACCAGCCAAGGCAAATTCTTCTCTGCTTTTCCAGTAAGCCAGCGAGCCACAGGGCATCTGCACATAAGCAGTCAGGCACCATCTAGAAGCAAAACATCCAGAACAACACAGCAAAGGCTGACAAAACCAGCGAAATATTAGCAAATGAACCAGGGAGAAATCAACCTACCAAGGAGCTTTCTTTCTTGCTTCTCTGTGGATTAGAATGTCAACCAAAAAATGAAGCCAGGCTGCATTACTTGCACTGAAAATGTCATTTGAAGCACACTCCTGTCATTCTAATTTAGAGAAAAACAGTAGCTTCCCATCAGAAAGGGCATGTGAAACTTCCACAGCTGTAGATCAGTGCTTCCAAGTAGATGCAAGAATGCACAACCTGCCAGTGAGGCAAATACCCTCTCATTCAGTCTTTTATCCCTGACATTAGTTGCAACTGGGTTAAGAGGAGTAAATTTTGCAATGGTCATCTATAGGATTATCTGCCATTAAAGAAATGATCTCTGTAATTACTTGTAGTGAGAGTGAAGTTTATACCCTGATTCTTCCCCAGATGTATTTAAGGTTTTAAGGGGTTTGTGATTTCGTTGTTTTTTGGGTGGTTTTTTTTTTTCCCTCAGAAGGAACAAAAAAATCAACCCCAAATCCTAGTAATAGCTCCCAAGAAATTTCTCCTGATTCTTTATGTAATTAGTTCAGAGTTTCTCAGGCATTTAGGCTATGTTTGGGGAGAAAATGAAGATTTTAATTTATTTTTTTTTTTAATCACTGGTTGTAATCTCAGCAGCAGGTGACTGAACATTTTTAATTTGCTGTGCTAGCGTGGTGGAAGATAACACACACATTAGTGTACTCTTAGTGCTACTCTGGATGGAATAGCCTATATGAAGATCATGTTAGCTATTTCCCGTAGGAGAAAAAAAGGGTGGTTATAAACACAGAAATTTCTTTGTTGTAATTTTAATCATATGAATGGAAATGTTATTCTATTCGTGTAAATGGAAATAAACAGGAAGTCAGTAATGTTCTTAAAATTCCAAGCCTCTTATCAGCATGTCTTCTCCCTTCAAAACCTTTTAGGGATTTGGTTTCAGCCTTCTTTTTGTCTGACATCTTTTTGGGTGCATTTCTCTCAGTCAAGTGGATGGCTTTTAACCATATTGAAATCACTGTATCCTCATTTCTAAGCACCACAGTGTGAGTGTTTTGGCTATCTTGTTTTGGATACAATCTGTGTCTCTGCTTCAGTATCCTATTCTAATGCTTCCCTTACCGTTATTGCTCAGCATGTCCCTCTTTGCTGTCACATAAGCCCTGTGTCCCTTTTGTTCTTTTGCAGGCTCCACCGTTTCTCAATTATTGTGCCTTCCTCTGGCTCCCCTTAGATACTTACTTTGTCTCAAATTATTTCTGTCCTTCCTCTTCCTAGATTCTTTTCCTTGCTACCTGCCTCTCCACATGTATTGTCTTCTCTGTAAAGGTGATCTATTAACAATGCATATAACTGATTTTTTCAGTAGTGATATTTTCAGACAATATACTTACTTGGGATATGTTTTATTGTTTTCTTTCAGAATATTATGAAGTTTGTTAGTAGTTTTAGAAATATAGTGTTATGGTTTAACCTCAGCCAGCAATTAAGCAAGCCCATTAATTAAACATTCAGATACACCTGCTTATTTTCCCTGATGGAATGGGGGAGAGAATTGGAGGGGTAAAACTGAGAAAACTCATGGGTTGAGACAGTTTAATATGTCAAGCAAAAGCTGTGCGTGTGAGTAAAGCAAAACAAGGAATTCATTCCCACCAACAGGCAAGTGTTCAGCCATCTCCAGAAAAGCAAGGCTCCATCACGTGTAATAGTTACTTGGGAATACAAAGAGCATAACTCCAAACGTCCCCCCCTTCCTTCTTCACCCAGCTGGTATTGTGAGCATGATATCTATTCTATAGGTTGTCCCCTTGGTCAGTTGGGATCAGCTGTCCTGGCTATGTTCCCTCCAAGTTTCTTGTGCACCCCCAGCCTACTTGCTGGTGGGGTGAGGGAAGGAGCAGAAAATGCCTTGACTCTGTAAGCACTGCTCTAAAACTAAAACATCTCTGTTATCAACTCTGTTTCCAGCACAAATCTAAAATGTAGCCCCCTACCAGCTACTATGAAGAAAATTAACCCTATCCTGGCCCAAAGCATCACATATGGGTTGCAAAAAAGTAAACTAATAAAATCAGTTTTCGGGTTGTCATGGCTAACTGGGATATATAAAAAATTTGGAAGATAAGATTTAAGGAGACAAATGCTTGTAGTTGTGAATGCAAAATCACACTGAGGGTACCCCATCACACTGCTTCTGGAGTCACAATCTATTTTCATGGTGAGTCATCCCTTTCAAATGCTTCTTGTTAAGACATACTCCAATCTCTACAATATGAAAGCAGACATGGTAGATGATATAAGAGCAGGTGACAAGGAGAGAGGGGAGGGTGCAGCAGGGGCCAATGTATGATTTTTTCTTAATATTATTTTTTTTGTAAAGCAGGTATATACCACCATTTTCACCAAAATAAGAATTTGACTGTTGATATTTAACACATTGCTGAAAATGCTGTATTTCAAAAGGTGTTACACCTATAAATCATTGCATGAAGCATTTAATTTCTAATTTCTGTTTTGGCCAAAGTGTTAGTGACATATCAGTTCAACCTAGTCTCCCATTCTCTAATATGTTGGTTTTTTGTTGTTGTTGTTTTTTACAACATGAAGACATAGGAGAAATATTCAGAAAGTTTAAAAATACCAGTGAAGTAAAAATAGCAAGGTATTTTATCAGATTACTGTTGCCAAATTTCAGAATTAAAAGTTACTTTCTGGGAAAAAATAGAACCTTTTGAACTTTATAAAATGAATAAAGTCTATCTCTTAGTATTGTGCAAACTTATTAAATGGTCATGACTTCCTGTAACTGTTGATTCTTTTTACTTTACCCTCATCCTAGTAATTTCTGTGATGCACATAAGTTGTTCTAGTTAGTAAATCAGTAACCTTAAATTTGTATGGTTTTAGTGAGTTGTAAGTTTGGCTTTCTGGATGAAACAAAAAGCAGTAACAAATAGAGCTGGCAATTAGGGCAAACAGGTGGTGTTGCTCATTTATTTCTAGCAACTTTGAGGTAGGAAATAATAAAAAAGGAGGTTACTGATTAACTTATCAGTCTAGTAGTTAATGTGAGAGCTCAAAAGTTAAGAGACAGAGAATGTCATTCCAAACAAGAAAAGTTATGGGGGAAAATGAAGGCAAAATCATCTGCCTTTCTCTCACCATCATCCCAGTCATATCTATGAATTAAAATATACTCTATTGCTGTACTGCATCATTTCTTTTCTGATTGTGTATGCTTAATATACTTGTATGAAAGTCACGTCTTGTAGAACTGCCTTATGAGATTTGGTAACTTCGAGCAATAAAATGCTTAATAATACAAGCCTGTATTTATCACTCCATTGTTTTCATCCACTAAAAAGGAATTGTGAGAGCATGTACAAACTGTGCTATATGCATGCACATTATTTCTTGCACTCTCAGGGAAAAATACTTTCATTATCTCTCTGATAGATTTCAGAATGGGGACTTGATTTGGGAATTACTAATGTACTCACATTTTCTTAAATATAATCTGAATTTCTAAACAACCCCCACACACACTGTTTTTAAACGAAGCTGAAGTGGAAAAGTCTTGGGATTTTTGTTTGTTTTGATATATTTTCTCTTTCCTATCAGGATCCCTGTATCCACACATCTGTCCACAGCGTTTCCTATGGTTTCTTCTGATGTGCCTGAGCTGCCTGAGCCTGTTGTGCCCTCTCAGATTTTCCCCACATTGCCATCTGTATGCCAGGATGGACTGTGCCATAATGGAGGGACTTGTCATCCTCTCTCTCTGCCTACTGGGGCAACTTCATTTCAGTGCGACTGCCCACTACACTTCACTGGTCGGTTCTGCGAAAAAGGTAGTTGTGGGTCATTCTTTCTGTATTAGTTGTGAAATGCAATTCTTATGGTTTTTGGAGCTGGAAAAGGGAAGAGATGACGATCAACATGTTTCCCTGCTTTTCATCCCAGTTACTGTTGGAAACTCAGAAGTAAATTCACTGAGGTATTTAGAATAATATTTACTTGCAGCATAAGTTTGGTGGTATCAGTCAGGCACTAGTAAAGATAGCAAGCTTGAGTAAATTAAAAAAAAAAAGTGTGCAAATTGTTGTGCAATGTGTGAATGCATGTTATGTAAAGTATTATTTCTGAGACAGAAGAAAGTTAACTTGTGAAAATAAGAAGATCTCCTTAAAAGATTATATAGTTTCCATTTCTACAGATTGAAGTCTTTTTTGCCACTGTGACTGGTCCTTTGTTTAAAAAGGCTTTTTTTACTCTGCTGCACATTTGTACTTCTATTGTACTGCGGTTGCTCATAAAGCACGTATTAGTCAAATGAACATAATTTAATTAGAATTTGAATAAAAAATAATTCTTCAGACAATTTGGGCTTATTTGTAAAAGGAATCAATGCTGTAAGACAAACTGATCTATGTTGCTATTTTGTAGTTATAATTATTTTGCATTATTAGATTTCAGAAAGTTCTTTTTATGACATTTTACAGCTGGCTTCAAAATCTGTTTTCACTTTTAAGGTACAGGGGTTTTAAATGGCAGTGGATAATTCTCATAGTATTGAAGGGCATTACCAGTGCACAGGAAAAAAAAACCAAAACTAAAATAAGTGTCTAGTTTATGGTTATATAACTGTAACATCCTCCTAATGAACTTGCCATGGTATGAAATACAAGCTACTAGAGTTAAAAATGCACTTGCTAGGTTGACAGTGTATCTGAGCTAACGTCACCTTGTATTACTGTCTGAAAGTAGGCCATTACACTCACTGTGTGTGAAAGTAATCAATGATTGTAAGCTTAAAATAAAAAAAAATTGTGATGTGTTGCTTAGATACCAGAGACTATTTTATCTTTCAGCCTTTCCCAATTTTATAATAAACTAAATCATATAATTTCAAGTTGTCAGTGTCATTAGGTAATTAATTCTGTGAATATCTTCTATGCATTTGGTATCTGGGCATACTCTTTGCACTTGCTTTCAGTACATGGCAGTTGTGCAAACTGAACCATAAAATAGTGGAACCAAAAAAGCATGTTTCTTTCAAGATTGCTGCCTTCTACTGACCCAATCTTTTCTCCCTGTTGATCTGTCAGTCTCCAGGAGTCTTTGACAGTTTGGCTTTGTTTTTTTTTTTAAATGACATAATCTATCTTTAATTATATTATCTGCGCTGAGTACTTACCTCCCTGTGCCACAGACATTAATGGAAGAACCTTTCAGTCCATTGGCAGAAACAGCTATATTTGGGTTGCTCATTCAAAAATACATCATCCTAAATCATTTCTCCTTTGAAATTTAACCAATACAAGCCTGCTGAGTTCATACAATGTAATGAGTTGACTGTTTTTCAGTGATATTTCCAAGGGAATTTTGCATGTTTATCTTACCTGTGTAAACAAAGGGGTCGCCTTCTCTCTTTGTTACTTTGTTTCAAAAATGTGTGAAAATATGACTGAATAATGACTGCCTGTAGAGCAGATTAAAAGCAAGGGATTATTACAATAAATTGCAGTTGAAACCAAATCTCTGAAGATTAAGACTGAAGCATCCTGTGTTAGACACACTGGTAACTATTCCATTCACTAAAATCAGTATGCAAGCCTTAAAAAAAACCCTGAAACAATTAGATCCTTTTGAGAATATAACCTCAGTTGTATAATCATTTCACCCTTTCACTGGTTATGTCTAATTTCCATGAGATATCTTCTTTTTCTTTTTTTTTCCTATACTTGGAAGAGATGCTGTTTTCTTTGCAGAGCCTTGCAGTTATGCTTGATGATAGGATTTTAGCAGCGATCCATTTTTCTACATCAGATGTCTTTTAATAGCTCTGGAACGTTCCTCTTCTTTTTCCCTTTCTGTAAGAAGACCGATTAAGGAGTTCCTCTTTTCACAGAGCCCTGCTTTTACACCCTACAATCCCACCATCAATACAGGGAATAGCTTCCTTCTTCATGTTTAGCAATCCTGGGTCAGCCAGAACTGTGGTATATGACAGGCTCATCGGCATCTCACTGAGGCAGCTACAGTGCAGGGCATATGCTGTCATATTGTGTGCTTAGGTAGATCAGGATCAGATTTGATTTATCCTGTATTTAACAGATGAAAAGTAATGGAAACATAATGTCCTTTTACTTAATTCCAAAGTTTCAATGAGATTGATAATTTCATGTAAGGAGACCAGAAATTGCACAACTGAACTAGCATTATAAGCCTTTGATAGTCATAGACCAGTTCTTTAAGAAGTCTGGAAAGAACTCATAATTGCAGAAGATAAGGGCATCTCTAATCATTTTATAATTATTTACTCTAAACATTGAAAGTGATAAACTAAATTATCATCTATGCAATCCAGAACTTTTTTCCAGTCAAGAATATTGTCTCTTAACTCCTTAGAGATAGCTGTGACCTGTTTTAATCATGCTGTAATGTATACGTCTGCATTCCAGTAATATATACTTATTAAACATCTTAGTGGTCTACCTTGCACCAACAATTAACTACAGGTCAGCAAGAAAATATATCACACAGCTGGTATACTAACAGTCAATATAGCATACCACAGAGTCTTATACACAAAGCCTGTTTAGATACTCTGGCTTCATTAAAATGTGTTGTATATTTCTAGGTTAAGATATGCCAGTTAGCAACAACTGTATATTTCTTACAGTTCATAAGACCAGCTTCTAGAGTGAAAGTGAATGCTATTATCTTAATTATGTGGTTTAATTTGATAGTGTGTTATTATATGCATTATTGCATTTTCCTATTTGATTGCACTTTAACTAATAAACTTCAGTAGGTTGTTCTGCCCGTACGAGAAATGTGTTCCAAGTCAAAATAGTCATTATGGACATATTAGGGCCAAGCCAGTTCATTTAAATGCATGGTATATTTACAGTCAAATACCTCTGAATCTGAAATATCTCTAAGTGACAATTTTGAAAAGTGGAAATCTAGCTCCATTTCCTAATGAAACAGAAATTCATGTGTATGAATCAGGGTATTTGCCAAAGTCAAGCTGAAGCTATCAGTGCTGGATATATGCCTAAGTATACTACAGATTACCAAAGTCATCTGGAAATAAAAAGTTGCTACAAGTTTGTCTTTAAAAACTCTAACCTCTAACCTTAAATGCAGCATAGAAAATTTGGTGTCAGTATAAACTTAAACTTTATTACTGAGTAGTGAGTGCTAGGTCATACACTAGAAAGGGGAGATTCTGTGGACAGGGAACACAGTGAAGGGTAGCGTACTCTGAGCTAGCTTTTTTCTTTTTCCTTTCTGGGTAAATAAGTCTTTTGACTTTAATATTAAATGTGTCATTCTTTCATCCATGAAACAATGATTAGCTAAGAGGTTCTGTCTGCTTCATTGTGAAATCCACACACAAGAGCGGGAAAAATGTAATGCTTTAGTATGAAGGCAGATGGTTGTCTATTAGTGTAAAGTTCATAGCAATAGGTTTGGAATATCATTGTCTTCTATGTGTAAAGAAAGTATGTCCCTGACTGTTAATTATAAGATTAACATTTTTAAAGTCACCAAATTTTTTTTCATTCTGTAGAAGTTTTATAAATTGTCCAATAAAAAGAATATTTAAATGTCATGTTAAAAAATGAGAGATCTTTTAAATTTTTATATGTTGACTGTATATATTCTGTACATTACTTAAAGGTCACCTCCTTCCACAAAGCTGCAAAACCAGGAGTAAAATAGGAGGTTGTTGCCTGCATTTATTTCGCAACCATCCCACCTGGGGACTTTGCTACATTTGTTCCCTGGGATACACTTTCAGAATTCCTGATTTGTCAAGCAATGCTTTGTAATACCACCCTAACATTAGATTTTTCTTTTACTAGCAGTTTTATAGAGATTTTTCCTAACTTAACATTTCTAACTTGCATCATTGACTAGTATGTCAATGTATTTGGCTTTGAAAATAAATGTAATTGGTCCAATTGGTCTGTGATTTTGGCCATATTTAGAAAAATCTCATGTCTCAGTAAGACATAATTCTTCTGTTTAATAATGTTTATACTATGTATGTATGATTTAAAACAATTATGTGACAGCTTCCATCAAAAAGAAGGATGAGGAATCACATGAAGATGTGTGAGTGAGGAAGGACAGTTGTGTTTTCATCTCCACATTCAAGTCTCTGTTTCAGATACCCAGAAAGAAAAATGTGAGACTGTCACCCCATATGTTCTGGTTTTTTTCAGAGTTCAGGTGTTCTTTCACTGATTTTGCCCTCCCTCAAAATGATTCATAACTTGATAGGACTCTGTGAGTAGAAAAACAGCAGGTTTAGAGCTATGTATAAACTTCAGTAATTAATTTGATATTATAAACCACAGTCAATGTCTAAACATATGAGATATCTATTAATTTCCCACAAAATGCATTTATATGTGTATGGAAAACTTTCACATTAACTATTTAGATTTGGGCTAAATTTATAAAAATTATGAAGTCTTCCCTTCAGATTGAGAGGAAGACATTAAAAATTAAAACATAGTGGGATACTTACGACCAAAGATTTATCCAGAATTTCAATAACTTTGTGTGTTGGCTTTGATACACAGGTTGCACTTGCAACAATTTTAAAACTGTGTGTAGGAAATAGCTAGCCATTCCCATACAGTTTAGTTGGTACATTAGAATTCAACAGAGGTAATATTTTGATGAGCAATGCAAAGAAAAAGGAATTATTTAAATTAATTCTAATGTTCTCTGCACTTTCACATGTAGGTCTGACCTTGCACTTTGATATGAGACTAGCCAAACCTTGTGAAATGTAACGTGTTAGTTCTTCATATTGCCATGCATCTGT